TTTTAAACCAATTAAAACCAAACAAACAAAGCAAAAAACATTTAAAATATCAAATTTCATCCAAACATTTTGAAAAAATATTCATTAAATCAGAATTGAAGTGAAATATTTTTGTGTATTTTTTTCATATTTTTTGAATACAAATTGGATGAGTTATGAATTTTAGAAATCAAAAGGAATTTAAAATAAAAATTTAAAAATAAAATAAATGCAAAACAGTAAGAGACATTGGATCTGGCCATTTTAAACACGCCGGCAATCTGGATGGACCAAAGGTGAGGTACACGGTGAACTAGAGTCAATGCGCGCGTGTGGAAATAACAAAAGTCCCTCCAATCAAATTAAAACAAACGACTGAGGGTCATTGGTTGAAGGTCGACACATAGGTCGTCAACCTCCAACTGTATGAAAATAGGGCGAAGATCAAATCCTTCAAACTATAAAATTAGAAACTCACACCGATGTCATTAGATGTGTCTCTTCCAGACGATTTCAACCATGTGCTCGCGGAATATTTATTTAAAGTATAGCTCACTCGATTTGAAAAAAACTAGAAGGTTTTTTAAAACTTGGATATAAAAAACAGAAGCATCAAATGCCTCGATTCAACAAAATTTAGTTAATAGCAAGCATCATTGAACATCATAGACCATTCCAGTAATTTGAGTTAGAAGCTTTGGTGCCATAAACTACCTGAACGATGTAAGAGAAATTTTCTCTGAAACTGGACTTGGCTAACACGATTTATATCACTTCAAGACTTGATTCTTGTTGGAGAAGCTTCAGGGGTGTCCAATGAAGGTGAAGAGCTCAGGAATTTAGAGTTGGGATTGCTCTAATAAGGAATTCGAAGTTACCGAAATAGAGCTATGGAAGTGAGTTTGGCAGGGCTTCTTTGGTTCTCTAAAGCTTGTCCAAATTATGTAGACAGAGTCTCTATTTATAAGAAAAGTGAATGGTGATGAGGCTTTAGAGAAATGCTTATCAATTCGTGCAAAGCAAGCTAGCCGTGATCATGCTAAACGTGTGAGTTAAAATGCATCAAAACGACCTCACACCAAGTGTAATTCTTATCAAAGCGCATCTGGAAAATTAGTTAAACATGTTTAGCAACTAAATTTTGAGTAATTCGGCCTGAAATCCAATTTACTCATGGTAAAAATTCCAACTTGAAGCAAAGAATAGATTCCATGGAGTCAACTTCAATAATGCATAACTCACTACTCAGGGACCTTTATGATGCAACCTTGGATTCTTAAGAAAGTTGAATGATCAAGCTTGACAATATACTTTGAAAGGTTCCATTTAGATACTTGGATCAAAATTTATAGCTCTTCAAAGTTGGCTGAAATTTTGCACATTTCACTTGGAAGAATTTCATTTTCTTGAGGACCAAGGATGACCTATAATATTTTGTAAAGTTAAATGACCTTTCACTCAAAATTAGCTCTTGATCCTTGAATATGAAATGAAGTAGATTCCTTGAATGGAATTATGGAATTGGAGTTACAAAAAAATCATAAACAATGAGAGAGTTATGGTTCTTGGAAGATGATGAAAATTTCTTGATAAATCTACAATGACCTATAAAGTTTCATTGAATTCCATAACTTTTCACACATTTTTAGATCTTGATCTTTGAACCAAAGTTATAGTAGACATCCTCAAGTTTATTGTGAAAAGAAATGAGCTCAAGGAGATAAAAATTGTTCAAGTTATGATCTCTTGAAGTTAAGTCAAGGATTTCCATAGTTTCCTCACAGGACTTATGATCTTTTTAAGTTTTCGATGATTCTCCTTGCACAATTGGACCTTGTCATGTGAAGGGAAATTGTTGTAAATGATGGAAAGAGTCCATAGAAAAAAGAACCACCTCAAAATATTGAAAATTGAAAAAGTTATGCACTTGTGACCATAGAATCAAAGACTTGTCCAAATTAGGTCAAATCACTTGGATCAAATTTGAATCTTTTGAACTTTTCTTGCAATTTAAAGCATGAAGAATCACATTAGACCTTGAAATTACGTTATATTGAAGCACATTTAATGAGAATACTTAAGGTTTGATGAAACTTTTTGAAGAAGGCATGGAAATAAACACATGAATCTATGAATTTTCTTGATGAATTCACCCACTAACTTTGAGACAATATTGACCAAATGAAATTGAGAAAGTACTCAAACCATAGAACTTTGATGCCATAATCCATAATCATAGACTTGAAGTTCAAGCCTTTTAAAATCCACTAATTAACCAATTAACTGAGGATCATCCTTCAAAACCCTAGCTTAGGAGGTGAGAGAGATGTACTTGGCTCAATACCTACAATGTGCAAAGCATAGAGAGGAAACATACATTTTTTGGATTTTGATTAGAGGTTAATAAACATAAAATACATATACAAGATATAAAATTCAAGGTGCTTGGTGATCCCTCAAGAGCAAACTTGATAGGGAAAATAGAAAGTGTACTATTTTTTCCGAAGTAGTAATTGTTGTACCCCAAAATTTTCCCTCCCATTTTATCAAGCCATTTTTCTAGGGATCTCAAATGCTCAAGAATGCTCAAGAGTTGATCAGACAAATGCTCCTCCTAAGCAATGGGTCTACAACTAGGGTTTTAAGTTTCTAAAGTAAGATTGGGTTTCTAGGGTCTCAAGTGATTTCCATGGTTCTTCATAGGCCTTCAACAATGCTCATATCAAGTTTCAAGTATTGCATCACAAGTTTGCTCAGTCAATTGCTCAGATGGCTGAAAATCAACTGTATTAGGTAAAAAGTCAACTATGGTCAACATACAGTCAAACTTCAATATTTTTTGTCAACACCAACATTTTGAAGTGATATTAATCATTTGATCAAGGGTTTATCACGATTTCTCAAGAGAAGCCCTCAAATCATCAAAATTCCAAAGTTGCCAAATTAGGGTTTCCTTAGGAGAAGTCAACTGAATTTTGACCAAGCATAAATTTCACATGCTTCATAAATTGTTCCTCAACCAAATCTCATTTTGAACTAAATTCAATTCTTTATAACTTTGTATTTATGCTCAAGTCCAAAAAGTGCTTCATTTGAGAGATATAAGCCAATACATTACAGGTCATTTCAAAAGTCAACAAAAAGACATTTTTTGTCAAGGAAACTTACATCAAGATAAAGTCTCAAAATGAAAAAAATGATCAAAAGAGAAATTGTAGAAAATATCTTGAGCTTTCTGTAACACCCCAATTCTACCTGGCAATTATAAATGTAAATCAGAGTTATAATCATTCATGCAACGAATCAGGGTGCCACAAATTCATCTTTAAAAACACATTGCATTCAACGTGGATACATAACACTTTAAAACTTAGGACGAACCATCAACATAATACATTAATCTCTTAATTCAATAATTTAAACATCTACGCAACGATATTCTTAATAACATCTTTATCCATCGTTACAACAACTTCAAAATAACACATACTTCGTAACAATCAAATTAAAGTTCAACAATTGAAATAATCAACAATTAAAAGTAACAAGCGTTCATCCCCCCGAGTGTTACATATCAGAGCAATGACACTGACTCGAACTACTGAAGGTATACAACCTTCACTCTCGATTACCTGCACGTTACCAACGTAAGGGTAACATTCAAACAGAAGGGG